GTTGTTCAGCCTGGAGAAGAGAAGGCTCCGGGGAGACCTTATTGTGGCCTTTCAATACTTAAAGGGGGCTTATAAGAAAGACGGGGACAGACTTTTTAGTAGGGCCTGTTGCGATAGGACAAGGGGGAATGGTGTTAAACTAAAAGAGGGTAGATTCAGACTAGATATAAGGAAGGAATTTTTTATGCTGGGGGTGGTGAAACACTGGCACAGGTTGCCCAGAGAGGTGGTAGATGTCCCATCCCTGGAAACATTCAAGGTCATGTTGGATGGGGCTTTGCGCAACCTGACCTGGTTGAAGATGTCCCTGCCCATGGCAGGGGGGGCTTGGACTAGATGACCTTTAAAGGTCCCTTCCAACCCAAACCATTCTTTGATTCTATGATTCTGTAAGTTTAGAATCAGGGCAGTAGGAGTAGGCAGGAGTTACTGGTTTCAGGTTAATGCTACTGTAAGAGATTAGCCTGACAGGGACTGTTGTATTTGGGAGATCCCATGATTAGAGGTTAGGACTGCAGCCACCAAAGGTCACCCAAACCATTCTTTGATTCTATGATTCTGTAAGTTTAGAATCAGGGCAGTAGGAGTAGGCAGGAGTTACTGGTTTCAGGTTAATGCTACTGTAAGAGATTAGCCTGACAGGGACTGTTGTATTTGGGAGATCCCATGATTAGAGGTTAGGACTGCAGCCACCAAAGGTCATCTAGATATTCTGAGCCTTAACAAAGATTGGTGGGCTAAAAATATGTTCAAAATTATGGTTTGGGTTAGGGTTTGGCTTAATCAGTGTTCAATAGCTGGACCATTAGGCTTAATTTAGGACTAAGACTGGCAGGATCCAGTGGACTAACAGTGACCCTAAGGCTAGGGTTAACATCTGGCATGCCAGATTCCCTAAAGTGGTGGAGAAAGAGTTGCCATGCTGTGAAATGCCTATTAAATTTAAGGCTGCTTCCAGTGTGGGTTGTTGAGTGAATCTTAGGACTGGGGTTGGGGTTCATGTTGCAGTACAAAATAACAAAGGGTGATGAGCTAGATTTTTTTCAATAGGTGTGGCTAGTCTAGGTTTAAGAACATATTGACCAGAAGTAAATACATAGCGTTGCATGGATTAAGTAAGTATATTAATACCTAGAATAAGATCTTGGTAGCTGCTATACTCTTTTTATGCCATTTTGTCAGCACAGGTATCTGGAAAGCTAAAGCAAACCACCAGCAAGGCGCTGAATTGGTGCTGGGGAACATCCTTGCCTATTTTTACACCAATGACTTGTCTTTAGCTACTCCATCCCTTTCCCTGCCCAAATATGCTATACAGGGAAAGATGTAAGCTAGGCTATCATCCCACCGTCGCTGGTTTCAGAAAAGTCTCTTGGGGATCAGGGAAGCCTGTTAGAAGTTAAGGAAATGTAGTAGCTCCTCTAAGTTTCAAAAAGAATTTCTCAGGTCACTAATCTTCAAAAAAATTTGGAAGCATAATGTCATACTTTACTCTCACCTGTCCTGCTTTCTACAAGATGCCACCTGCAGCAAAGATCAGATTCCCAAGATTTTAATATATATTTTATGTATTGATATGTTTTAGATTCTAATAAAACCCTTATGGCTTGGTAATTTTTCTGGATAGCTAAATGTGGTAAGTACTGTTACACACAAGATTGTGGACACAAGATGGTGTATATGTACAGTAAAGTATCATGGTCTCTTCAATTCTGGTTTCCTTCTGTCTTTCATTTTCATTTCAGGTGGAGATGATTTAAAGAATATGTTAAATACTCAAAGCATAGAAGATACAAATCTGCACCAGGTACATCTTTACAAAGAATCCTGATGTTAATTTGATGCTGAACTGTTAAGGGCTTGCTAGCAGTCTTCAGTAAACTAAAGCAGACGACTATTTCAGAAATGTGTTTCAAAACCAGCATATAATGTACTAGATGCTTCATACCCAGCAGGGACTGAAACAGAGTGATATTTAATGTTATGCCAATTCTTTGGCAAGCAGTTGCTGATCCTTACTGGTACATGGGATAAGCTGCAGCCTCGTGAAGATGCAAGACAGAGGCAATCAGCTGCCTCTCATGGACAGTGGTTCTCGCTGAGGTTTTGCAGTTGCTGCAGAGGTAACTTAAAAAAAGCATGGTACATCAGTGTCCCTTTGTACTTGCAGAAACCTGCCTGAAATGGCAAGATGATGTCTGGCTTGTAGCAGTAGGGTAGCTGCTTCTTGCCTCTGTGTTGTGTTTTGATAGGAAAGGGTTAGGGAGCCACTGTCTTGCACAGGGGTTGCACAGTTATGCTGTGAGATGTCAGTAAGATGTGGGAGCTAGTGCCTCACATGAAGACAAGACACCATAATCAGTCACTTGGGTCATAGTTTGTTTGCGTATAGCACAACAGCTTTTGGCATTAAAAGCTGTACTCACCTCGTTTTCTCCCCTTTGAACAATGATAACTGGTAATATCTGAAACATATAATGCAGTGTGCACAGACACTTTATTCTTGCTTCCTAAAGTTTTATGTGGTTATGATAACTGTCCTTGTTACTCACAGTAGTCCAGTCAATGGTGTCCTTAGAAATGTTATGCTATAACAGCATCCATGGTGTATAGTCTTAGATTACACTTTAAAACATTAGTTGATTGACGAAGGATATTCTCCCAGTAGAAGGTGTTGTAAACATTCAATTGAGAAAACCTATTACTGTGGCTGTGTAACTGATGATTTCAACAGTTGTGTGAGTTGTTGCAGTGTTTGTGATCTGGGTCTATCTCCAGATATGAAGTAATCAACAGGATAATTCTAGTTAGTCATTGGCCTTTGGAGCAGTTTTGATGCAAGATTGTCATGAGTTAATTCTGCGTGTTTTTGCTGTGTTATTTCCCTTTCTTTATAATTTCCTAGAATCATTGCAGACAGGTTTGCCAGAAATGTGAAACTGTAGCTCTGGTATATGACCACAGAAGCAGTGTAGTTTTAATTCTTTAAAGGCAGAGCATTCATTCGAAAACAATTCAATTTTCAGAAATAAATAAAAGTGTAAAGCACTTCAGTAATATTTATCATTGGATTTCACCCATTAATTTTTACACTTTCATACACATATTTCTTAGTTCCTTAATTTCTTTGTCCTGCTGTCTTAAAAATCTGTTCAGGCAGAGGAAATCAGTTAATTTTATAATAGCACAGTTTTCTTTTAGTATATAATAAAGCAATTTATCAGAAAATGAAATTAAGTATATGGCCTGTTTTGCAGATAGAATTAAATGCAGATGGCACAGTTCAACATGATAATACTAAAGCATCAAAGGAAATGTTGCTGAAAATGAGCAAAGCAGAAAAACAAATTTGGTGAAATACAAATAATAAAGTTCTTCAGGATTCTAAAGGCAGAAAAAGGAATGAAAAAAAATACAAGTTCAAAAAAGACAAATAAATCTGCTATTCTTATATTAGAGGCTACAGCCAAGAGTAAAACTATTCAGAAATAATGTCTCATGTTAGATGGACCTCATGTTTAGGTCCACTTACAAACCAAGCAACAGTTAAATTACAGAAAATGTATTTCCCTGATGGTGAACCTAATGAAATGGGCCACACTGTTGCTGTTTCTAATCATAATTGTTGCATCCCAGTTGATGTAGGAAAACTGAGGTAAGTCAGACAGAATTGCAACAGGAACATGAATTCAACAGTGGTAGCAGTGAAAATGCATTTACAGAGGAAAAGGGCAGAACTGGTGGAAGCTCAGCAACTTCTGTTGTAACGGGAGGAGATCACCAGTTTGCATTGCCCCCCATCATGGTTTCTGGAGAAAAAGTGTCTGCACAGCATTCTCAGAGTACTGATTTAACAGAACTTGATTCTCAGTCAATACTTACTTGCTTTGACTTCCTCTCACAATGTATCTGTTTTAAAGTTACAACAGGAAGTCAAGAGTTATGACAGTGATCAACATAGTCTCAAACAGAGTTACAGCAGTAGTTTGAGTGACAGGAATCTAAATACCGGTACGATAATACCTTCAGAGCTAATTACTTCTTTGCAAAAGTTGACAAATCAAGTTAAATTTGATGTTGATGGAAACAAAATTAATGGATCGGCTCTAAGTTTAAAACTCTCTTTACCTTTGTTTGAACAGATTTCCTTACAGACAGATCAGTCAGAACCACTGTGTGCAAATCTTACGGATTCAGGCAGCACAGACATACCGCAACAGACTATTGTAAATGAGGTGCAAAACATTTATACTAATATATCTGAAGATGGAAGCAGCCGCACTGAACAGACACTTCAAGCAAATGCAGAAACACTGTTAGCACATGAGCTTTTAGCAGGTACTAATGGAGAAAGTGTTTCTGGAAGTCCTTATAATTCTACCAGTGGTGTACTAAGCACCATTGAACAAAAGGCTCCACAACCGGAGAAAGGAGGGAGGATCCTGCTTAATGCAGAAGAGAGTGTTGAAGGATGTCACATTGAAACTGAAAATGCTAGTAGTTTAGAGATCGAGCCTATAGCTCGATGAAAAGGACATGCTTCAAATTAGACTAAAGAGAGAGGAACTTCAGGAGACCAACTCAAAAGCAGATTTGCATTTTGGTGTTAATGCAGACAGCAAGTCTCCTTATTCATTTCATATTGTGGAAAATATGCAGAAAGAAACCTCCCAGAAAACAGGTGCCATGTTTTGTTTGAAAATAATTATTTTATGAGTTTGTTGTAAGCATTCTGTGAATTTTATTAAAAAAACCCAACTGTTGGTCTCCAGAGAATATATTTTGCTATAAATAAATAGCAGACATATGGAATGTGTTGTGGTACAGTCCACTATGCCAGATTAACTAGTTAGTAATTTTTGCTTTGTGTTTTTGGGGGCTGTTTCATATATCCAAGTCCCCATTGTATTTACCAAAATGTGACCGCAATGGTTATTACAATAATTAGAATGAATGTGACCGCAATGGTTATTACATTAATTAGAATGAAAGTCTTAAGTACCTTATTTTTTTTAATACCTAAGAATCAATAATGGTCATATCTTCACAAAGGAATCTTTGAATTGTTTTGGATTCAATTTCAGGACTTTAACATATGGTGAATAGTGGTTAAAGGATTTATTTTGTTAATGTATTTTCAAAAATCGAGTGAGTTACTGCAGGCATTTTTTAACCTAGACTAGGTGGTGATTTTGACATTCATTTTAATATCAGTTATAATTTCTGAAATTACTGAGTATTATGTCATAGATACTCTTAAGTTCTTTTGTTAAACTAACAGATGAAGAAGTGTTTGCTGGAGTAAGTGGAACAGAAGGCACTGAAAAAAAAGGAGAAGAAGGAAATGCAAAGACCAATGTGCTTTCACAGTTTACTGAAACAGAAGTCCAAACTAAAAGAGTAAAATTAGACCCTCAGGAAACAAGCCAAAAGGCAGCCTTGTATTCCAGTAGCAGCAAAAACAAGCTTTCATCTAATCAATCACAACTCAGTCAAGCATCAGAACAGCAAACGTCCAAGAAATCAGGTGAAAATTTAATAATATTTTATAAAAACAGTGGAGTTTTTTTCCAGACATACATGAAGAAGGCTTTTCGTAATACATGAGGGAAAGTTTGGGAAAATATATATAGCATGTTGAGCAAATACTTTAGTGAGTTCCAAATACTTGAAATATTTCCAGAACTTCTGTACTCCGTTTTATAGGATGCACACACTTACTCTGTTTTGTTTATGTTACATTCATCCGTCTTCCAGCATTGTGGTTGAGGGGATGCAGGATCATAACCGAGAGCTTAAAATAACATTAAATTGATCCTTAGTTAACTATGTTACATAAATAATAGTTTAAAATAACACTAAATTGGTCATTAGTTAACTATTTACGTATCACAGATCAAAGAAGAAAACCTGGCTCTCTGTATATTTGGCACACATATATCCACTTATATTTTATAGACTATATCCTCATCAGGCACCAATCAGCATAGGCTCTGATTGTACTGGTACATTTGGTTTTAGCTGTAGTATAAAAACAAACCTACTTATGTGAGGATAAGGATCTAGCATCCTCCGGTAGTTATATTCTCTTCTGCCTGCACATACAGCTTTCTGTTCAGCAGTTTCATCCCATGTCCAAGACTTGCATTTATCTTGTAGCCTTACCACCACAATAGAGCCCTGATCCAACTGATTACTCATCATAATCCCATAATTTTTCACTTACTGCTTTTTTGGTAAAGCTGGCAGTCATCTTGTGTACTTCGGTTCTTTCTGGAACCAGAGAATCACAGCACTCAAGACTTGTTAAAACCAAAACCTGTAGTTCAGATGGGATCCCTCCTCTCTTAAAACTTTTAAATGTAATGTATCTGGGCCACTGATTTAAAAATGTTTATTCTCATATCATTTGGCATTCTCCTTAACTTGTGTTGAAATGAAAAGAACTATGTTGTTAGATGATAGGAATTTCTTGTGTAGCTTTGCCTTGATATGGAATAGAGTATTTGTCTTTTCTGATTATCTTAGACAATTCTGTCATTTCTCTCTAGTAATTAAGAGTTTGGGAATTATTTTTTCTGGTTCTGATAGATTTTAAAATACTGCCTTCTTAGGACCTTAGCTGTCTGTGACTATCTCCTTGTATTCTTTTGTTTTCCACAGCGGTTTTCTACAACTCCTTATTTATATTTGCTACCATTCACATCCCATTTTTTCATTTCTCATTTACTAATGAGAAGTAAAGGTTCCTAAGCCAGGTTAGTTTTTGAATCGGTGCAGCTTTTCACCTTGAGTGTGGGATATGTTGTGAAATACTTCCTAGCTATTATTCATATTTTTCTGCTGACATTTTTTTCTTCAAACTGTTTTTTATTTATAACTGTTTCCAGCTCTGTGAAAATTTCCCTTTCAAATAACTGTTGTGTCAGTG